TCATCTGTGGACGATGGTAGTGACCCGGGTGGAATTTCGATATTCCTACCACCCATTTAATATACAGATTTCCAGACGAAGTCCAACATATTTTATAAAAAAATATAAATTTTTTAATCATATTGGACCCTGTGGATATCGAACCCACGACCCATTGATAAGAAGCCATACTTTATTACCAATGAGCCCGTAAAAAAGTAGTGCTCTATTTTTTAGATATATAGACATCACATAAAACATACATCCTTTGTGACATATAGCATGTTATAATCTGTATAATGACAATAAGAAAACGTGAGTTGACGACGAATGATCTTGCCCATTTGTGTACAGTGAGATCAATCGTAGAAGGTCATCTTCCCGTCATTAAAACAATTTAATTGCACGCAATTACAGATGAGGAGCAAAATCTGTCTTCGACGTGTTATGTTTCGATTTAGATACACATAAACTCTGTTTGCAAATTGTCAAGATTTATGACAGTATGCTTAATATACAGTTACTAAGAGTAATTTTCATCCCTATATTCGTCGATAGTGAATTTGAAGAAATAATTCAAGTCCATGGACGTTGTCATATCTTCAGCTAAATATATAACGTTCTCCAATTGAAAACTACCCTCTAACAATTTGAATAAAACTCATTTTAAAACCACATAGGTATAATATTACGTAACTTATTTTACAGTTATCCTAACTACGACCAGACGTTTTGGATGTTTTACAGCAGTCATGGTCACAGGGGAACTTAAGATCAAAAATAAGTTTAATAATATATTCGCGCGTTAAAAACCGATAAGTACTTAACTCAAACGTGCACTTCTAGCATAAATTACTTAACTTTATAATACTCTCCAAGAAACTATGGCTATCGCAGACTAACCAAAACTATGTAATGCCTATCGAAATGATCCCCATAAGAAAGGAGTAAAACTGAAATAAAGCTGGCAACGCTGTTGCTAGGCGCGTTCAAGGCCTCGTCGGCCCTGGCCGTGCCCCTCCCAGCGCATGTGCAAGCTGCACCAACCACATGTAACACTTCACGCACACTGGCGCGGAATAGCATAAGAGCCGGTTGCAAACAGGTGGCACTAATTAATTTGGAATAAAACGAAATAATTGTTTATTAATAATTTAATATATAATCTGGCAAGATCTCGATATGTCTCTCATAATTGCAATGTTTTTTAATTGACACCGCAGACTAAAATTGATTTACTTTTAATTTACAGGGAATAATAAATAACTAACTGACATCGAGTTATAGTAATATCGTTTTGTTGACGCACTACATCGATTTCAAAGAAATTATAAACGTGTTCCTTAAAATTTGAATATTTTAAAATAAAATACTTTTAACAGTTAAAAACGCGAGAAATAGTAGTTAATTTATTTTGACTACGGCGTCTCGCCGTGCAGCAGCCGGTTACGGTGGTACAAAAATAAATTGTAAATAAGTTAAATTTCGCGTGCTAAACCGTACACTGGGTTTAATTTAAATATGTACTATTCACGTAAACTTCAGAATACCTTTATCTTAGTAAAGTTTTTAAAATCATCACGCGCTCTTGTACTATGCTCTTCACGTATGAAGGGTAAATATATTTTGTGACGGATGATTAATAAACTTGGATATTCTTGGTTCTGAATACCACCACTGTCTCTGCTAATTTACAATCTATTCAAAATTGTAAGTTAGTGTATATTAAACATTTCTACTTACATTGTATAAAAATACAAACAAAAAACTTACATGCGACTTAAACTAGAATGCGATTACATTTGCAAAATGGCACCGTTATACAGAAGAATTGGATTACATTACGAAAAGCTAATAAATAGAACCGGATAACCATGCATTACTAATCCAAAATGTTAACTGAAATCTTTACAAAAATAAGATAAAATGGCGGAATTTGTTTCCATCGAATATATATATATTATAAAGATCTTTAATCTGTACATTTAATTAAACAAATGATATAGTAACCATGTTTCCTCAATTATTGTTATGAATCAATAACAATTACGATGGTTATTATTAAAGCCAACCTTTATATTAAGCATTCTCACATTTGATGAATCATCCGTCACATAATGGGCAATAAAATATAATCTTATCATACATAATACAAATATTTTGAATAATAATACACACGCGTCACGCAATTTTGAAAATTTATCGCGAAATCTGGACGATTTGTTAAAGATGTGTTTGTTGCGGTTTACTGTGTGACTGTGTAATGGACAGCCGTCATGTTTAATCGCGTTTCGGTATCAGTCTGTGGATTTCCGAACATCTTAAGTCAAAATAGGTCGACAGCTTATACGGCTTAGATGTTTCACCTACCATTAAGTGTACAACATGCTTGTCCCTTATCATAATAATAAAAAAATTGAAGTTTTCTGATGTAGAGTATAGAATCTACAATCAAATAAAACTGTCCACCTTACCTCCTTAAAGGAATAAAATCAGTCAGCAAAAATTAAGTAAGCACTTAAGTAAGTGCACATAATATAAATTAATAAAAATTAAAATAAATAAATAAATAATAAAATTGAGCTTGAATTCCTAGACTTAAGTATCATTACGGTACCGACGTAAAAAATAAATAGGTTTGATGTTCCTCTCTATTGCATTGTCCTCTTATTCGAAGGATATCACCTGCATTGTAGTTCCATTGTTAACCATTATTTAGTCATAACATGAGTAATGAGTGTATGGAGCTATTATTGTACACCAGTTCTTTAATCGACGACATTATTACGTAATGTGTTGAAATAACAAGGAGCTAAGATTTTAAAGTTGAAATATTAAAGTCAAGAGTAAAAACCTCTCTTACAAAAAAATCTGATCGGTAAGACGAACCTCTTATATTTTGAATGGAATTACCTACACTATTTCAACGCCTTGTTTGAGAGGTATTATTTAAATAAATATGTTTACTTATATAAAAAATATTAAAAGTCCTCAAGAAATCTCAAGGACTCAATTATTATGGAAAATTCTAAGTGATCTCGTGAAAATTGGATCATTAAAAGTTTTGAAAAACTTCTGTCATAGAATTACATAATTGCTACCAATCATCTGAAAGTATCATAAAACGACAATTTTAATTGCCTGGGTCAAGTGCAAAGTACAATTCTAGTTAAGGTCAGTAGAATAGAATATTAGTATAATCGATATTATGCATCTCTAAATACCTATTAAATACTCTTGGAACATTATACAAGACAAAGACCTTAGCATGTTATAATTTAAAATATATATTACATATTAAGATACTTAATATGTTATTAATAATAGTTATAAAATAATTACTGCAATGGCGATGTCACACATAAGCAATACTACTACTAGTATTTGGATCCTAGCTAGTAAAAAAAAACTATAGAACAGTGAAATTGGTTTTAGGTAAGCAAACATGGATTCTCTTTGTAAAAAATTCGTATAATTTATATGACTTGTATAACAAATTAACCTTACAGTTCAAAATCTTGGAGATATTAAAGACAATCAATAATATTATTAAAAATAAAGCGATATTTAATGTTGAGTATAAAATAGACTTTCCAAAGTCAACTCAAAAAGTAAGTCATTATATTTAAAAAAATCACCTCATTATTTCAGAAATCCATTCGCCATGTTACTTTGTGACTAATACCGGTAAATAAACATAAGCGGTCGGCCATGTTGGCCGCCATAATTGAACCATACGTCAAACGTGACGCGTCGGTCGTCAGCTGATATTGTTGATAGCGATACGACACGACGCTAAAACTCATGCAAAACACGATTTATTTTGCACGAAGGTTACTCCAATAGGCTAAAATATGTATTGGGCTAAAATTACAAAGGGAAACCGTCGGATGAATGTCATCTGTTTATGGTGGATTAACGATAAAACATTACGTTTTCACTCGTTGTTTAGACGTATTCCAGCCAAGTCCTAAATTAGTTCTTAGCTAATTTCTGTGATTAACAGCTGAACATTTTGCATATCGCATGTCATCTCAAGCGAATTGAGATCGGTAAATATTATTTATTTACGAAATTACTAAAATTCTCCGTAATTTCGCCTTGAACTTTTGAACCTAAATTTGTATAAAACTGTTTTCCTGTTTCGATCATAAAGTTACGTGTGTATAGTAATTATTTGTGACAATTACTGAGGCTTCACTGGCCTAACCATGTCTCAAGGTAATGCGGTAATGTGGGAAGCCCCAAACTATGTTTATTGTTGTTAAACTTCAATAACTATAGGCATGCTGGTAACATTTTGAAACCATGATAACATCGAGTACTATTCTGAGAAATAATTAGTTTATATATTAAAGAATCTTTTCTTTAGAAAAGAACATACATCAATAAAGAATGTAAATATACGTAATTAATTTATTTTTTAACTTCCACCGTTGACTCATATTTTACTGAATATTTGTATTATTTGACAATGCTTAAAAATGTTATATTACGAAATTGTATTCAATAAATTGGATATAATATCGGTGTAACGTGAAATAAAGCAATTTTACTAGGTACTTGATAACATTAAAATTGTATGTATCTAAAGAAACGGATTCAAATGAAAGCGTGACGTAATAATATAAAAATTCCGATATATAACAAACATTAATCCTATTATTAAAATCGTTTTCAGTTTTCACTGTATTATTTTTCTTCGCGAACTCTTTGAATTCTTATAAGACTTCTTAGTAAGATTATTGAAACGAGAATACGTCAAGTACTTATATAATATCGCCGCCTAATAGCAGTGATTATTCAACATAGGCTACCAAACTAGCGTTGGCTGGAATCACCCGATTGCCTTGAACTTGTGAGATCGACATTTTTTGCGAACTCGCCAACAGGATACGAGTCAGTGTATCGGTCCCTTTGTGGATTCTTGATGCCCTTGATGGACAGGAATTTCGTCTGCTGTATTATTGGGCAAATTCCTGACGTCCCTTTTTCTATCCTATCCTTTTTGTGCCACCGAAATGTCGAATGCGACCCGCGTTAAGAACGAGATCGTTGATATATCGTTTTCCTATTCTCCATATTGGAATAAACAAGTCTGTTCGCGATAACGCAGATAATGCAATGATTCAGACAATAGCGATATAATGGCGATGTAGATAAAATTACCCATCCCAAAGTAGGTCCAAGTTGTACTCATTAGAACAAACATGGCTACGCGCCGTGTTAAACGTTGACACGTAACTCCTTTCAATTTTACATCAGATCTTTGTACTTCAATTTCACCGATAAAAACGTTATTGAAAAACGTGCGAAAATGTAAAAACAAGTTTGATAAACGTCATAATTGAGTATTAAGTACTTAATCTATAGCTTACCGGCGTTTTGAGGGTATTGCGTAACTGGAGAGCGGGGAACTACACACGGTGGATCGACCACGTTGCCCGGAATTTAAAAGCACGCATAACTCAATATCCGTATTGTTAAACCGGTATAGTCAAATCTTGAGTGTCAGTGGTAGTTGGGTGTTGATGCGGATAGCATCAGAGTCGTCGTGGTACTGGCGGGTCGGTCTGCTAGCCGCTCCTGCATTGCGGCGCGCAGTCGCACTCGCTCGCGCATGACCTTGGCATTGAACTTGGCAATGGGCCGGCGCGGGCCGGGGTGTGCAGCGAGCTCCGCCCGCAGCCTGCTGATGCACTACCCCCCTCTACCTTCCTTCCGCCTCGCTGAGATCACCTCTGCTCTGCACTTCGACCAACCCTACGCTCCCTACATTATTTCATAGCGTTGGGTTACAATAATCCTTTCACTGAGTAATGTTTTGTCCGTGCCAACGTCAGGTATCAACTTAACAAAGTTGATATTATATTGCCTGAGTATGTTCCTTCTGGATGTTTGTAATGAAGTATAAGTAACTACTGCATCGATCCTCAAATGTTCTTTAGATTTGAAATGCAATTCCACACTTGCTGGTAACTTGATATGTAGAAAAAAGGAAGGGGAGCTGAATTTTACTCGTGTAGGTTTATCGGCGAATGTTTATATCAATAGAATTTCCTTAAAAAATACAGTCCTTGAACTAATACAATTTCGAAAGCCTCCGTCGAACATCAGCCCAACGAATTCCGTTTTGGGTTTATCCATCAATCTAGTTTCATTACCGGTTTCCTCCATTGAGTTACAAAATTATTCGGATGATGTCTGCCCACGCTTGGAGGGTGTTGGGGTGGCGGGTGCCGGGATCGATGCCGCGCATGCGCAATCTCGCTTCGCCCAGGGACTATCGAGGACCATCGCTATCGTCACGGTAACCAAAGTGGCGTTTTATTATGAATCAAGGGCGACATATATAACCCGATCCGGGCATTATTAATGTACTGAGGCAAGACCGAAGCATATAATATTATGTATATTTGAATGTTCTCTTTTAGACAGCAACGAAAATGTATTGTTTAAAATCTGTTGCTAAATTCCAAAATTGCTTTCCTGCAGTTTTCACACAGAGAAATACTATAGCAAATAGTGAATCAGCTAAACTACATCTTATCCTAATTTTATGACCTACATCAATTTACCAATTTGTATGATTGATTATTCCCCTAGCTTTTTCTATTATAACCAGGGTTACCTAACTAATTTAAAAATATATTTTCAATGGGCGATAGAATCCGAGTTTAGAGGGCATCTACTCTTTCCAATTTGACAGACAATAAAATTTTAATGTAACTTAAATTTTAAAATTCTAGCACTAAAGTTATTTGCGTCATTTACAATTTACCGTAGGTGACGTCAATATTTGTTTAAAATACAGGAGTATTACTCTCAATCCCATATACATGTTTTTTATAACAGAGAAAGACAAACAATACATAAACAATAGGTTATACTTGATGTTAGGTGAAACAGCCATAAAACATTTAACAAGAAGCGCTGTCGATCTATTTCGGTTTTGGATGTTCGGAAATTCACGGACTGGGACCGATTAAATTTCACTTTATTTACTATCTGATTATTAGCTATATATTACTACCATTGGAACAACGTCAAAATACCGAGTGAGTACATCTTGCACGCTCCAGCGAGAGAACCTCGCATAAAATGCAAATGAAATTGCGCGTGAAATTGTAAGGATTTCAGAGGAGTGACGGTTTGAGGGAGACGTGGGTGGCCTTGCCCTTGTGGCAATCGATAGGCGCGCGCTGTAACCACTAAAGACTGCTCTCAGCTGGGCTTCCTCTACCGACGATTGTTTATAGCACGCAGAGGTTTCACAAGGATTGGCTCACTTTGGTTATTCATACATTCGTGTATGGCTCTAATTAAAACATTAGAAAACATACAATAGACTAAAAAATAATTTGTCCTCATAACATTTAGTAATAATAGGAGTGTATAATTAACTCCCAAGTACCTTCTATCTAACCTGTTCATTTATGATAGAGTGAATTTACAGACCTTAAAATCGAGATGCGATTAGACTTGACGGCTTTTTGAAATGAGGGTGGGAATGACTCGAACGGAATTTCCGATATTCCTATCACCCATTCCATCAAACTCACGACCCGTGGTTAAGTGGCCATACATACAAATGTTACGAGTAGGTAGCATTAAAAATTATAGACATAAGGCACTTGTGAAATAATTATTAAGTGTGTGCCGGAAATGGCACTGTACTGATCAGTGAAGAAGGGGTTCTGAGACATATGCATACATGGTCTATACCCATGTATACTTCACTCTCCGACTCGATTACAACTGTGTGCCTCTTAACTTTCTTATCGTATTTAAAAAAATAGTTTGAAATCAAAACCACAAAAAGGGATTTATTTAATTTGTAACACTTCCGATAATTATAATTGTTTAAAGTCAAACACGGTGAAGTGAGTATAAAGAGAACACATCCCAGACAAGCAATTTTCGTTCAGCTGCATTTTTCGCCAAGCACTTAAGGTCACTGCGGCCATGTTATCCAATTTTCAACTCGTTGCAAATTAATATTCGCTACCGTTTGCATTTAATACGGAAGATAATTTACGTCGCTACAATCTTTATTATAAAATTTTATTTAAATGAAACACTTTAACGGTTTAAAACGCGATATATTAGTTAAACTTATTTGAAAATGATTTTTAACTTCGGCCCGACGTTTCGGATGCTTTGCAGCAGCCGTGGTGACGGGGAAACGTCGGGCCGAAGTTAAAAATCATTTTCAAATAAGTATAACTAATATATCGCGTTTTAAACCGTTAAAGTGTTTTATTTAAATGTGTACTACTCGCGTAAACTATAGACAGTGTATAAAATTTTAGTCTAACATTGAGGCCTGTAATTCCCACAGATAGGAATGAACAAAATATCTACAGACTATAGTCAATAAATCTGTATTTTGCCTTTCTTTTTATTGCAATGGTATAGTGCATAATATGCCTGTGGACAACCTTTGTATATAAGGATTTGGTTGATTTATCTTTGCATCAGATTTGTAAACATAGTGCCATATTATTTCTGTTGTTGGACTATAGATTATTGCATTTATAATAAACACATTAATTAAAGAAAACTTTTGACGTTTAAAACGCGAAATATTGGCCTCACATGGGGACGGGAGGACAGTCACCGCCCATGAATACGGTTGCTGCAACGCATACAAAACGTCGTAAAAAAAGTGAAGATCCGTTTCCCCCTCGTGGGGCATGGGGCGAACACATTTCTGTGTCTGTTTCACTGATCCTTTCTTTTAAGGGGCAAGTATTTATGTTGCAATTTTATGTTTCCCTGGGATTCGAACCCGATGGCTACAGAGCCGGTCCATACGAATGGTAAATAGGTTAATATGTTTCGAGTTTTAAACCGTTAAAAGGGTTTTATGAATCATATGTTTGAAAAAAAATTCACATTATTTAAACAATTTAAATAACCAGCATTGACTTGATTTGTCTTTTAATGAATTATAAGTTATTGAATAAGCGCTACGATTTATTAGTATCTATATATTAATACAAAAATTCAGACAGCAGTACAAAGTAGGTACACGTAACGTAAGTAGGGTAACGTAACGCAATTTTCCACGTGAATTTTCAAAGCAGTAACAAGATTGATTGTATTTGCTCGCGTATTTCGATTCGACGAGTAACAAGATGTAATGGGAACATGTTTATCATGTAAGAACCGGCAGGCTCCACTTACGTAAAACTTCCTTTCAAACGTACGGTTCACACAATATATGTAAGACTGTTTGTTTGTCTTTTTTTTATTCATACATAAATTACGGACAACGCACAATAGTAAACTAATAATTATATAAGCGAATTTAAACTAAATTCTTATGTTAATTCCATGCGATAATTTGGTATTTCTTTAAGCCATTTGGAAAGGGAAAAATAAAAATATATATTCGCCATATATTAACAAAAAATATATTTATACATCTTATGAAGATTATTTGTACGCGAAATGCATATATTTACAAACCGATATAGGCAGTTTGATGATCGCCGACGAGACATAGACAACTGAGGTCCTAAGTTCGAGTCCCGCCCGTTTTAGTTTTAGATTATTTGACTATTAACAAAAGACAAATCTTCTTTTGTTTTCTCTTTTTTTGCCTGATTTTTTTAAATCATAGCTAGAGGTAAACCGGGGGGTACTCGCTAGTCTAATCTAAGTTTTAACGAGGAGCTAGCAGCAAAAAACAAGCACATGCGAACAGAGCATGAATTCACTGTTTCGAGGACAACGTGTTATTTGTGTAATGAATCAAACTACTGTTGTCATGCCGGATTTATGTAATTATGATTTTCGACATTATACAATGGAAATAATGCTTTGACTATGGATCTAGACCATGTGGAGACATGGGTTTTAAAAATGTATTATAAATTGAAAAAATACGACTCGGGCAGGACTCGAACCGGCATTCACGTTACTACCATATAGCATACCAACTCTGTAGCTCTGTAGCAATTCGTTAAAGCACCAGCACGGAACCCAGTGGATGCCGGTTCAAATCCTGCCCGAGTCGTATTTTTTTTCAATTTATAATTAAATTTTAATTTATTTAGTGCAATCATGTGAAAAATATTAAAGTTTTGTTGTATCTTAGTTTTAATATTACATTCTTAGCTATATAAACATTGGGTTTGAGATTTTATCTAGATGTAGCTACAATTATAATTATATCATGTTGGTTTAAAATATTTCAATATTTAATTACTCGTCAACGATCAGGGTCCAAATAAATACCCACATACAAACTCAATAGATAGACATTCGTTTTCATCCCTATATCTCAATCAAACATATTTACAAAGAATTCAACATAATGGATAGACAAAGAACTGTTGTCTATGTATTTACCGTAACATTTTTATCTGTGGGTGGATTTCGGTACCCCCGGGGTGCGGTCGATAGGGACGTGGATGGGCCGCCCACGTACCCTATACCCCCCTCCCCCCCAATTCCCCTGACCTATATGTAACGAGGGAACGGGATACGCACGCGCTTAACGCACACACGCGCGTCACGACTCCTGATGCAAAATGGCTGTAACGTTTTACCTAGCGCGATGGATGAAGTATAATATACATATACGTCATACACAGAAGTCATATACAATAGAATTAAATATGTCATTCTATCATACAAGTACCTACTGTTTTTTTTATGTATTCTGTACTTAGTTGTTACTTATGTATATAAATACAAAAACATAATATTGTAATTTATCATTGCTCTTACTGTTAGGTATTTTTTAGAAATTTTTATTTCTCAGAGGATTGCATAAATCTTTTTTGGATAAAATACTAATGGTTCTTTAATAATACAAGCGTAATTTTACTAGTTTACTATGTTAGTTCAAAATATACACAGGGAAACAATAGGTAGCACGACATTTTATACTATCTTAGACATTTTTAAACTTAAGTTATGGGGTAGATATTAACAAATTGATATAAATAATATATTGATGAAAATAATGTATTTTTCTTATAAAACAATGTTAAGTCAAAAATAGTACGAATGACAATAACAAGTTTTAAATTAATGTAACTAAGAACAATGCTTTACGCTATGTGTTTTAATTAATGAAGATTATTTTTTAGAAAAAATAGTAACAATATAGCCTGACGCCATATTCACTTGAAGTTAGTAACGAGTGCGGGAAGGCTGCTAGTATGACGTCATAGAACCGCAAATTTCATATATGCGGTTTCACAATTTTCAAGTGCTAACAATTCTGGAATATTGCAGTAATACCGTTATATAACTGGATATGTTAAATTTAGTTACAATTAGGCGTTTTTGTTAATTTTCGTTACGTCTTTATTGAACAATTATCAAGTAATTATAAAAGCTTACAAAAGGTTTTAAAACCAGAAATGATGGTTGCATTCATTAAGTTATAATTTAATCTACATATTAAAGCCCAATTAAATTTACCAGACAAAAAAATATCGTTGAAAGGCATAGTTAAAACGGGTCGAATTACAAAAGTATACAGTTTTTTGTTAGTGTAATATAAACCTCCACAGCAACTACAAAATTCGTGACCAAGCATTATAATAAGTAGGGCATTCTCTCGAAAAAAAATTGATATATTATATAATTTTGAAGAAGTTTACTAAGTGTATAAAAAGCTATAATTTTACCTCAAGTATAACTGGGATGAATTCAATATAATTTAGTAAGAAGAAGAATATGTTGTCCTTTTAATAAAACAAGTGAATATTGGTGAAGAAATCATGGTCTTCGCAGTAAAACAGGTTTACAAAAACAATTAACACCTTTTTAATAGATCGACTGAAGCGCTAATAATAATCGCTAAACAATGTAAGCTGGAATCTTGAAAATAACGCTTTAATATATACATTAACATGGTGTACTATATAGTATCATTGTAGGAAGGTAGTAAGGTATTCTTCTACACAAAGTCGTGGGGGTAAATAAAAAGTGACAAAAGAAGCTATATTCAATATAAAAGTGCAATATATAAGCATTAAAAACATATAAAAAACCCCAAGGAGTGTTAAAAAATTAAAATCCTAACAGTTTGATTCTCGTGTAGCCCACTTGTGTCTGTGGTCTGAAAATGAGTTGTTACAAGACAATACATTGCAGTTACGAAATTTGTACATATTAGTTATTCAGCGCCGAAATTCGACGACGCAACGAATATGTTTCGAGTTTTAAACCTTTAAAAGTGTTAAATATATTGTCGACCGCTCGCGTAATTAACACAATACATTACAGAGATCTTAATAATATTGAACTATCCATAAAGAGGGGGTACAGCCATTTTGGTCCTTATTGCATGGGGCGAGAACGCGCATATGTTTTTATCGTCCATTTTATCAACATACATATATCCCAGTTTAACACACGTAGGTATTCGTTAAAATTACATTAATAACCAAGATCTGATCCTTTGATTAAGACGTCATCAAATATGGTCACCGCACACGGTACAAAACGCCACCACTGAAATATTTCCTATACCTAGTTGCATTCATTGTTTTGTACCATTTGGTCCTCGGCAAACGATTTAATGTATAATGAGAATGACCGAATGCTGGTGGTATTTCGCCGCGGTTCCTTGTGTGCGGCTAGACTTAAAAGGTAGTTATAAAGAATTCAAAGACTGGGACACAGCAAGGTAAAACATGGGGCCTCGCCAGTAAATAAGGTGAATTCGTACATCCGGAGAAGGCGTAACTCTCCAAAACGAAGGAAGTCATTGCAATAACCTATTAATAAACTTCACATACGGTGGAAGCTAATGGCTAAATCCGTTAAGGTATTTCATAACGATATACGTAATTCAAATAGTTAATACCTAGGTACCTACATAGATATCAATCAATATGTTGCGTGCTATGTAATATCAAATCAGTTACCTTTTCGGTTCCGGGTTGAAAACAAGGGGCACTCGCGGTTTTTGCGCACTAATAGGCCCTCACAGAATTAGCTTCGAGAAAGAGGGCGCGCAAGTTAGACCGTCCGAGCGGCCGCGCGGCGGCGCGCGGCGGAATTGCGGCCTCGACCTTGGCCGTCAAAGCAGCGCATGCGTCCCGCGTCGCCCCCCTCACGTCCCTCCGCCAATTATGTCATTATTTTTGCTGCTGTTGTGTTGCCAAACACTGTCGCGCTCTGCTGGAGATGGATCCTGATTAACGAATTCTTCAAATGCCAACTGGATTATTCTTCAAGTCCAATTGGAGCCCCTCGGAGGCCTTCCTTTAATAATTATAACCGAACTAGTCACCTATTCTTCTTCTGAATTTGATTTTTTCCTCGTTCTATTTTTTAACCTACCTACCTACATGCTCAGTCAAAATTTATTTACATGAGTTGCTGAGATGATTTAACTGATATACCTTTGTCTTATATTAATAGCAGTCAATCTATGATAGATTGACTGCTATTAATATAAGAAATACATACTTATTTTTAATTAAAAATATGTATGGTTTTAACTTTTAAGCGCCATACTTGGGTGGTTCGTGAATAGGACATGGGATTATTTTAAATTTTTAAACCAATTATTTATATTACAAAAAGTACAATTTTCAAATGCTTTTAACGCTCCCTCTTAAAAATATTATAAACTCTTTTCAATTTCTAATCCATGAAAATAAGTCGGACGACTGATACGCTAGCACTTTGTTAGTACACTTAAAAGAGAATAGATGGCGTGAATAGCAATCTCGATGATATTTAGTTTAACGCCATCTATGTTTATTTATTACAATAGTTTTATTAGTGAACAATGCAGAATGAATTCCTCGATGCATTTTCGAGGGATTTATGCTTACACTATCCTGAATGTAATATTAGACTGTAACAAGTTTTATATTTTTTATCTTTACAATAATTTGGCAGACATCGGAGATTTTTTAAATATTACAGTTGAATTAAAGTTTTGTTTATTTTGATTTGTTAATGACAAAAAAGACCAATCTATTTTCAATTTAATTTTTATTTGACATATTCAAATCTTTATTTTAAATCAGTCCAGTGTTACAATGTTACAAAATTAAATTAAATATGCATCTTTTATGAAACTTTCAGATCAATTGATGCACATTTTAATATATTGAAGGTATAATATATCCCAGAAGTTAGAATAATCTCAGACTTTCTCAAATGTTGTCGTTTAAATCTTCGAAGAGTCGATCACGTGGACAGTGGGGGGTAGATTATCTTGAAGATGCCCAGTGTTTCCGTCGGGCTTGTTTTCATCTTGCCTTTTTTCTTCCAATTTCATTCTGAAATTAAATTTTAAATAAGTGTAAATAATTTATATGGCACCGCTATTTCTTTATGCTTACACTGAAAACAAAGATACGCTACAATTGAAAATTGGCCATTGAACTAAGAAACTAGTTTAGATTTTAAATTTTTTTTATAAGGACGTCCTTAGGTACTGAAAACTTAAATAAATTTAAAGAAGTTATTACCTTGACATAAACATCAAACGAGCTAGATTGTTGAATGGTCCTTCAGCCAGCAACCACAAGAAGAAAGACCATAACAATCCAAAGAATATCGCACCAAAAGATGCTATAAGCTGAAATTAACATTTAAGTTTATTTATTTATCCGTCCACACGTGATGGCGACACTTCGAGAACCTCTTCTCGCTCACGTCGACCGAACGGCCCGAAAGACAATGATATGCTGAACGATGGCCGTGAAAGCCTTACACAATTTGTTAATCAGACACATTATGATATTCAACAACTCACATTAATTAATTTTGTCTTTCTCTGTTTATTTAGAACCTTTTTTAATTACCTGATAGAAATTGTCATGATGTTGTAAGTTCCGTGTAATTGCAACATTCCTCATTATAATAGCCGGATGTATCAAATACAGGCCATATGTTAATCTGCTGAGAGGTACGAACGGTTTCCAGCTTAAAAAGCCTTTGAGCACGGCTGAAAGAAGGTTAGAAATTATTTATTCATGTCGTTTAAATAATTAAAATTATTTGAAGTCTCCCCGTGACCACGACTGCTGTAAAGCATCCGAAACGTCGGGCCGTGGTTAAAATAATGTTCAAATAAGTTTAACTAATATATATCGCGTTTTAAACCGTTAGCACTTAAAAACTTATAGGTATCGTTTTTTTTTGTTAACTCCACTAACAATTTACTCGGCCACGATAATATGATATTTCCGGGCATTTTAAAAATGTATATAATTTTAGAGCTTTTTATAGTTAGTTAATATAGGGGATTAAATAAAGTACCTATCTATGACTTAAAACACTTTCTTAAAATTGGCAACATTCCAATTTGTCCTCAATTACTTTCTGCCCTTTTTCAACATTAATATGATATTTCTATTAATTATCATAATCATAAAAAAATACTCTCCAGTATTTTCGTAAAATACTTTTACGTACTACCCGACTTGGAATAATCTTTAGCACATTTACAATACATTATATCTCGACGTTATTAAAAGTAAATTCAGTAAAGTAATTTGTGTTAAACCATTCAATGCTTAGCTTAAGCTTTTCAATATAATAACTTTTGTACTTACGAACGTGACCAAAGGAACAGCTTAATACGAAAAGAGAGATACTGCAACACCAGATCGGTCGGTTTAGAGCCGCGTACAACACGCTCTCTACCATATTATATCCCCTCCACAAGAAAGGGGGTCCCGAGAATAAAATCGAGCCCATCATCAGAATACTAGCACCGGCTCCGAGCACCGCCCATTTCTATATAAGAAGAAACAATTAAAGATGTATTAAATTCTACGACTTTAGCTAAAGAAAATAAGACCTAAATTAACAATTGTTATAATTTTAAAATTACTAAACACTAGTCAAGATAACCAAAAAAAAGTCGGGCCGAAGTTAAAAATAATTTTCAAATGAGTTTAACTAATATAACGCGTTTTAAACCGTTAAAGTGTTTTATTTAAATATGTACTACTCGCGCTCTTTAATTGATCTAAAAAATGCCCGCGACAATATATCTATCTCTTAAGGTTTCGCTTGCAAGAACTGCGAGACGCGAACGACGCTTGGTAAAAGATGTGGAGGCGGTTTAAAAGGACTATTATACGCGGACGAAGTCGCTGACTCAGCTAGTATATACATATAGATTAATCGTCTTCTGTGTTAGACACGTTACGATTATAATATATTTGAATTTGAATTAAAACCGTATTCAATATTTAGAGGTAAGGTTTAATTAAAAAAATACACTTTTAATCGTCTCCCCGTGACCACGGCTGCTGCATAGTATCCGGAACGTTTTAAACCGTTGATATTGTGAATATATAAAGTCTTATTGACAACTTAATGCTTAAGAAGCTATCAGTAAGAGCAAATTACTAATAATTAATGTAAATCTTCTGAACATTTTTTGCCTCACAGAATAGTTACTAATCTTGTCACATCGCTACCTGATTCCAAATTATATACTAATAAACAAAATGTCGCGTCTGTAAAAAATATGTGCGTAATAGGTATGTGACGTCTAATTACGGTATTATTAGTAGTTCTCAATTTAATATAGACACAAATATAACGGATTAAAAGTCACGTGTTTATAAAAAATAATTAATATTGTAACGTTTAAGAGTTTATTTTATATAACAAGGTATATTTATAAAGCTGTCACCAAATCCCTTTTTATTATAGAGGACAGACAAGCACGGAGTTCACGTGATGGTAAGTGAAAAACCCAGGGTATTATAGTTAAATAACATCTAAACAACTGTCGACCTATTTTGGACTTGGATATTTTGGAATCCAAGTCTGAATTCTGATATTATTATGAATAGCCAGATTTTCAGACGATGTCCAACATGTTACAGAAAAATTATAAAAATATTGGACCTGATGGGAATCGGACCCGTCAATCAAAATCTCTTGGCAGTTTCTACTTGCAAGTGTAACAGGCCTCTCTCTGTCTATAAAATATTGTTCTTACTTCTAGTAAGCCAATTTTTGTTTTCATTTTAAACAATAATTAAATTTAATTGAGCTATCGAGTCAATTGGTAGAGCAACAGAACGGAACGCTGATGATGCCGGTTCAAGTCCTGTCCGAGTCGAAATTTTTTTCAATTAATTTTCGATTTTTAAATTATATAGTGCTTTTTTGTGCAATAACATGTAAAACATATCAACATTTTCATATAATTAGCTTTATATATTTGCTAATAAGCTTAGTTATTTATATAAAATATTATTCTTACCTGTGATATCTTTCTGCCTCTAACCGCGTTTAATCGTACGAAAAGAAATCCTGTAAAGACGCCGACAAGATAGGCGGCATATCTTGTATGACTCTTTATATATGTCAGATGGAATTGTTCGTGTCGTCGAGGATCTGAATAAAACCTGCGAAGCGTTTATTTTATAAATACTGCCAGTTTTTTTTTATGGTAGGTGACATACCCAAGCCAAATAACACCGAAACAAGATGCGCCGTAGGCGTATTTGGCTTTGGATGTTTGGAAATGTACATACTGGAATCCAAACCCGATTAACTTGGCTTTTACAACTGAGGACGGTGGTTGTCACTTTTCATGTCACAAAGCGAGTAATAATGGATTATATTTACAAATATATAAACTATGTTAATGACTGTTACAACAAAGGTCGCTAAGAAACAATTAAATTGGTTATAAATTAACATAGACAATAGTGAATAGCGGTAATTATGACTAGACAATATAATGAGGAAAAAATAATATCGAATCTCGGTATACAATGTTTTATAGCCTATTTATTTATTAATAATTATATAATTGTCATACATGCAGTTGCAGATGTACTGTGGGAAATAAAGCGAACATTTTTTTGTGTCCGTTTCATTGAGCTATTTCTGGGTATTTGAGCCTAGGACTATTTGAAATTAAGCCAAGCTAAGCAACGTGTTCTAACAATAGACATTCGGAAGTCATTATAGTACTTCATTAAATAATTCCATTATGACTGGCTACTGGCTCATTGGTTCTGTTGTTGCAACGTTTGGTCGCAGGTTTGATTCCCACCGGGTCCAGAAAGTTATAGCTGTGACCAATAGGAGCGAGGAAAGAGTGGGAAACGTGAAAAAAAAAATTCTCACCTTTGAGTCCGTTGCGAAAATGGTTCACGAAAACATAAAATATGTTTGAAAGAATGGTTCATCTTTAAATTGTCTAAAAAATATCTGCGACATGTCTCTCATTTAAGATTATCTCGCAAGAACCATTTTATGGTTATATGGTCGATATTAATGCAGTACCACCAACCACAAATATTAAATCTTGCAAAAGACAAAACAATGTGTGGCGGATCTGATAATTTTAAAATAATTCTTTTTTTCTACTGACTACTGACATTCGTAAATAGTTTCTAGTACTTACTCGTATGTGAACAGCTGAACTGGAGGTAGGTTATGGATGTAATTAATAATTCCTGGTGTCACTATAGAACCAATTAAGAGTGAAATCAAACCGATTTTTCCCACTGTTTTACACTTAGTGTAGATCCAGTACATTGTCAAAGTAACAACATAGAAGTGGAAATCACATGGAATGTACCAAGCTATTACTATGCACTGAAATAAAATTGTTAATTAATTTTAATTGAAATTTTTTACCGGTTTAAAACGCGAAATCAATAAATTAAGATATTACTTACGCTCGCATATTTTTTTTGTGTATTATACATGTACATTAAATTAAAATTTATGTTACATGTATAGTTAAGTATATATAAAAATTCAAAGAAATGTTGAAGAATAACAATATCAAGAGCAACGAAAACCTCAAAAAAGTATCAAGCATTAAACAGATTTCAAACAACATTTAATACATTTCCTAAATGGCTTCAGAATTTAATAAAATCTAGATTTTGTATATACAACTTCTAGAATAGCAATTAATGTAATATATTTTCAAATATTTAAGTGAATTAACGTTATTCTTTGTTGTATTTTTATTATTTAATATTATACAAAGGAAAGGTTTGATTATTTTTCTATCGGTACTCACCATATTTTCAGTGTCAATGTAGTTGTTGACCATCAATAAATTTAGCCACCAGTTCTTCCGGCACGCGTTTGCTTCAACGTCCGTTATAGCTTTCCAAACAGGTCCGTTGCCGGTATAGGTAAGGACGGCAGCCATGTAAAATACTGCTATGCCGTAAGCTACCATTAACCTGAAATCGAAACGCGATTAATCTTGACGGCTTTTTCATCTGTGGCCGGTGGTTCATGATCCGGACGGAATTTCAGACAAAGTCCAACATGTTTTAGAAAAATGATAAGTTAATTAGAAAAATGTTGACCCCCGAGGGGATCAAACCCACGACCCGATACTACCGTACGTACGGTACCATAAGCTACCATTAACCTAAGACAACATCAGTCCTTTCAAAATGCAATAATTACATACATCGTACATAATCGGCCATTCCCAATGACGGATCCCTACTAATCTTTAGTGCTAAAAACAATGTGACTTGCATAAAAGCCCACATATTATGTATATATTTGTTTTTTTAAGCGATACCCCCACTTAACATCTTCGATATTCGGAAATCCACAGACTGAAATCGAATAGCGAATAAACGCCTTTTTTTATCTGTGGTCGTTGCTTTGTGACCCGGACGGAATTACGATATTCTTACCCACTATTTCATATTCAGATTTTCCAAACGAACTCCGGCATGTTTCAGAAAAATTATAAATTGATTAGACCCGATGGGGATCGAACCCACTGTTGACTATTAGCCATATATTGCTCCCATTAGACCAGCAATTACCACTTCCATGATGAAGGGGATACGGTAACGCAGTGTTCGTGGATTAGTGTCCCAGCAGTGTCCAAATAATCATTGTTCTGAGACTTACCTAATGTATCTTTTTAAAAATGCTATTGGAAGATTGGGGCTCCGTTTAGATTTTGACAAAAGGGTTGCCGTCAAAAAGCCAGACAGCCAGAAGAATGTGTCAACTGAAACGTCGTTGTGGAGGATGAACATTCCCATGACACTAAGGACATCCTGGAAGTAAAAATTTAAGTTTATGACGGAGAACAAGAAATAAGTAAAAAGGCGTTGCCGGTGGAGCCCTTGATAATGAAGATGCGTCGTCGACCTTTTCTTGGATTTAAAACATCAGTAGGTAGTCAACCGACCAAAATTAAGATTGTTATTTATTGCTTTTTCGGATGCTTTAAAGTCGTAGTCAAAATATCAGACAACTAATATATTTCACGATTTAAACTGTTTAATTATTATATTACCTTATCGACTCTGTACCCATTGCTGACTGGTCCAGCATTGCTCAACCCAAATTGATGGCAGACCACTATAACACAAATTGTCAGAAATCTTATACCATACAAGACTTCGGTACCTTCCTTGTTCATTGTCAGAAGATTTCTCGCATTTTCATTCATGTCGAAAGCTCTGGTTATACTGTTCCCTGAAAAGGAATACTTATTTTAATAAAACACTTTAACGGTTTAAGACGCGATATATATTAGTTAAACTTATTTGAAAATTTTTTTACTTCGGCCCGACGTTTTGGATGCTTTGCAGCGGCCGTTTAACTAATATATATCGCGTTTTATACCGTTAAAGAGTTTTATATAAATGTACTATTCGCGTAAACTACAGACAGTTAGAAATAGTTATACATAAGTACATTGTTTAGTTATCTGTACAAAAAAAAAACAGGTGTATATTTATTTAATGAGAAAAATCTTTTTATATAGTTCAAACAGCGACCTTTTCTAGGCAACCCGTAAAATAAAACGAAAGAAAGTGCTACAAAGTTGTTAACAACTAAAAATACATGTCAAACTTAAAACAATATGAATAACAAATAATAATAAAGTAAAGGAAGAAATAGATTTACACGAGAGGTACATGTGTAAAAAGATTAAAACCAAGCTGAGGTCCTAGGTTCGAGTAACACCCGCGTTATCAAATTTATTGAATCTAATATGACAATATAGTGAAATGTAACACTATAATAATGTATAATATACATAAAGAAGTCAATATTCATAAATTTAGAACTGGGATATTAATTAAACGCTAGACTCAAAAGAAAGTCTACTTACTGTATTTGGAGCCTTTTCTATTCAAAATCGTACATAATATAGCTACAGACGTCAGTAAAACCACCATAGCCCTAAAAATAACAATAATAAGTTCATTTATTCCATTTGAAAATGTTTATATTATTCACATGATAACATTATATAAATTAAAAATCAATGTAGATTGAAAAAATACGATGCAGGTGGCATTTGAACCGGCATCGTCAGCGTTGCGTGCTGTTGCTCTAGCAATTGAGCTACCGAGTCAACTCATTGTCGAATTTTTCAATTTATTTTCGATTTTTAAATTATATAGTGCCTTCATGTGCAATAACATGTAAAACATATTAATGTTTTCAGATTTCCAGGTATTTCTGTTCATTAATAAAAATATTTCTTTTACAATTTAAAATAATTTTTGGTAAAATTAAATGGTAAGTATATATGATAAGCCACATTTTGTTAAGCGATCATGTATACTTATTAAATTATTATAGTATCTACACATATATATATACAAATAAATCAGATTGCAAAAGATGCGAAGAAAACACGCCAATTACAGTGTTGCCTTATATGGTGCTGTTAGTTTAAACTCTGTGGAAGATTTTTAATTGATACTTTGTATTAGCAAATATCTTCTTACTTAAAGTAATTTTTATTTATTAGCTAGCAATTCAAAAATAGTTATACTACAACTATTTTTGAATCGTAAACATATAACAGACGTAGTCTTATTATAATTACTAATTAGAATAAAAAAAACCCCTGTGGTTTTTATGACAGACGAGGACAAACATTTTAGCGTTGGATATTCGGAAACAAACTGCCTGAAGTCGGAAACAGTAACGCGATTAAACTTGACGTCCTTTTCATCTGAGGACGATAGTCACCTGGACGGAACTTTGATATTCCTACCACCCATTTAGTGGCAAGATATCAAGACGAAGTCTTCAGGAAAATTATAAATTGATCAGTAAAACCGTTGGTTGTTAGCCATGTATATATTTGTATCATGTACACATTTCATATATTCTATAGACTATAGAGGATGTTTCTGTATAATTAAACGGTCATTTTATAGTTTTCGTTTATGTCCACTTACACAAATGAGTAGAATGGAAGATCATACTCCGGTTGTTCGTTCTTTTTCTCGCAACTGATGACGGAAACATTCGCTCTAAGACCTGCTGTGCCCAGGTGGCTGTGCGCAAGAAGTATCCCCATCAAACGAGTGACGGACTCTTTTGGACATTCAGCGGGAACACATACTCCCCATATTAGTTCATTTAACGGACGCCGGTACGAGGTTTTATGCTGAGAGTGGGAAATGAAAAAATCATTTCATTAATATACTTTTAACGAATTTGCAACGTTTGTTTAAAACGCGACATATATTAACTTACCTTAATTAACTTAATTATTAACTAATATAAATTAAAAGTAGGTTCACTAATATATTTCGCGTTTTAAAGGGTTAAAAATGTTTTATTTAAATGTGTATTGCTTAAGCTACCGGCACAGTGTTTACACAAAAATATGAAATAGAAAATGTAATCATACCTCTATTAAATTAAACGCCGATTGATAAGGATCGTAAGGATCAGACTCCTGTTTTCTAGAACTCTGATCGGTTCTTTCTAGATGAATATCAGCTAAGCAGTACTGGGCTCTCAATTCCTCGTGCTCCTCATACCAGGGGGCGTCCATGCACTGGTCGTAGTTCCCAAGCTGAAACCGACTGCCGTACAAGAGACCTTCTGGTTCTGCTGGTATAGAATCCCAGTCTGAAAATTAACGTTTAATTTTTAGGCTTCACATACAGTTCATTTGAATGGTTAGTATTACGACTTATTTTAATCCCTTCTTCTTAGAGCCAGGCATGAGATCCTGACCTTTTGCCGAAAATTGTTTGGCCGATTATCACTTGCCCACCACGTTTCGCCTATTTATCACTTTGACGACGAATTATTGTCAAATTAATTATTGATATGCTGGTTATTGTAATGACAAAAAACGTTTGGAGCATTTATCGTATTCCAAATGATTTATTAGGCCTGACAACTTTTAGACGAATACCGTTTCGTTCCTTATTTAAATTTCCATTGTAATGAAATAAAAGCGATTTGGTTCTGGCACTGTAAAGGTGAAATCGAAAGGAATCGGCTAGGTTAGGTTAGTATGCTGATAAACAATCCCAGACAAAAAACCAAATAGTCATGTTTTCAATCTGTGTAAAAAAAATAAGATTACGTGGTATACATACTTAAGTTAAAAGTAAATATTTAAACAAAAACAAGCCAAGATCTAAGGTATCGAATATTTATAAATCTATATTATTAATCTAAGGTCTACATTAACTTCTCTTGGGGCCTTTTAACGTTTAACTAAGATGTGCTATCGATCTTGACGCATTTACGGGTCCTTGCGCCCCCCACCCATTCAATGTAATATCTATATATCTAATGTAAAAAGCACTGTTAGTCATACCATCGCATCGGTGCATGTTATGACGTATTCTCGAGACAATGCGCATATTTAAATGAAATCAAAACATTGTGTGCAAAATATCAATTGAATTAGGTCGCATTAATATAAAGGTTCCAACGACTTTTATAGGCGGTTCGCTCAATGAAAAAATATAGGTGCAGTTCTTGATTCATAATATATTTAACAAGTAACATAATATATTGCTTAAAACGAAAACAATTATTTAAGACTAGCTGTGCCATCAACTTCGTCCGCGAGATTCGTTATTATGGGCATAAACTTGAACTGATCCACGACGTCGATTGGGACCCTTCCCGTCATTCTTGCAAGTTAATCTTAAAGGATGATTGATGATAAAAGAGGAATCATTCTTTCATACACATTTTTGGGTATCTTGAACCGTCTTCGCAGCGTACGCAATGAAACCCACAGAGATGAAAAAAATCCCGTTTCTCGCTGTATCTTCGCTTATATGAGTCACAGCGCGATGTTGCATGCTGATGTTGAATGCTCTAACCATCACAATTATTTTTAACCAAAACCAACGGAATTTCTTAATTCGAACCCGTACTTTCTGAGATTAGCTTGTTCAAACAAACAAACTCTGCAGCTTTATATATTAGTATAGATTAGTTTAGTTTACGACACAGGCAGGACTTAAACGACCACAGAACTTGTGCTATTGGCGTTATAATTAAGGTAACTGTTAAGTAGCACTAAGTCAAACTATAATGTGAGCTAAGATGTTATTACAACGTGTCAAACTTTTAAACTTATTCGTATGTTAGTTTATCACATTAACACAACACACAAACAAATTATTAAAGTATTAGAAAGTCTCTTAGTAATTTTGTAAGCCAAAAAATTTAAGACCATACAGATGTTATGGTTTGATTTAAGACTTTCCAATAGAACTTGTTGTTTTTAGTTTGGTTGTTTGATTGATTTCCATTCAAGTTTACTTTAGTCTTTATACTTTTACTATGTAAGTAAAAATCTATGATAATAATCTGTGACCCATTGATGTACATTAAAATAAACAATTTTATTGTATAATATTGTGTTTATATTATTATATTTTTATTGTATAAGTCCGAATACAAATGATTCAAAATAAAAAAAAAAGTAAGAACTCTCTAAATAAGAATGCGCAAACGCCAGTAAAGTTCCAATTTTTGTATAATTTAAATTATATTATCTTTTATCTTACCCCAAACAGCCCAAAGAGTGAAGTTCTGCAAGCTCCGCAACAACGTGAGCGTTTTCTCCAAACATGGCTGTTCCTCCTGCGTCCAATTTTGATTCTTCAAAACGTACAACACATCCTCCAGATAAACATAACTACCATTAAACAGAAATGTCTTTGTCAACACACTATGACTACTATTTTCATTATCTATTCTTGTTTTGTTAAGCTCTGTGGCAAAACTGCCGCCATTTTTTGGCGCCAAAACGGAACTGTCAATGACACTGAAATTAATAAAAGCGAAAAATAACACACTGCGTTTCATAGTGATTGCGCGTGACGTTGTCCGTTAACTGAAGCTCGCCAAGAAAAATTTTTCATTATAAACAAAGTACATTGCATAATTATTTAATCTGAGTAGTCATGATTAATTAACACTTAAATAGAGGTACATCTTTGTACACGTTATTCTATAACGTATACTGTGATGTCGACTGTTTGTTCTATCTGTTGGTTGCGATTAACTTATCGAAGTTTTCGCTAAATACTTTTACAAGTAGCTATAGCATATTTTCGGATTACCCTAAAACATTCATATATTTTAGAAACATTTCATAGGTTTATAAACTTCATTCAAAGACTAACGTCTATATTAGGGTTGAATAGACATAGTTGTTATCTATGGTATTGAAGTTTAAAGGTCACCTTGAAGGTATTTTAAAAGGAAAAATAGACATGAGATAAGGGAAAGACTCACGTTATTCAAACACAAAGTCCATTCTACTACATTTAATCGGCGAAAATTACATTGAATATCTACAATCCAATTGATACTTTACAATACAATTTAAATAAAAACTAACATCTAATTTTATATTACCAAACAGTGCACATATTAAATAATTACACAGTAAAAACACACGACTTACATTTAAAGTATTTTATCTTTACATAAACTGCTTTAATAACATAAAAAGATTAAAATTATTTTCGATCATTCTTTAATAACGTTATCAACTGTCAAACCTACAAATGCTTTTGAAAATGAAGAACTAGGTACATTGTTTATACAAACTTAAAAATCAAACATCTATATTATATAATAGACAATTACCTACCATTTTTTTACTTTAACATTATTATATTCTGTGCAGATTTTATCGTATTTAGATCCAATTTCACAGAGGAACCTTGGGTAAAAGAAGCGTCAAACTATCTGTCACAGAAATTTGCTTGTTTGAAATAAGGCTTTTAACAGTTCGTAAATTTAAATATATACACACATTTTGTTTCAATATATTATAATATATAGAAAAAAAACAATTGTATACAAATACTGTCAATAGTTTACGAGAGTAGTACACATTTAAATAAAACACTTTAACGGTTTAAAACGTGATATATTAGTTAAACTTATTTGAAAATGATTTTTAACTTCGGCCCGACGCTTCGGATGCTTTGCAGTAGCCGTGGTCACGGGGAGACCAGAAAAGTGGACCGGAGAGAAGTTAAATATCATTCAAATAAGTTTAACTAATATATCGGGTTTTAAACCGTTACAGTGTTTTATTTAAATGTATACAAGCTTATATGTGATTACTTAAAAGTGGAACGTCCTTAAATATTGTCGGTATTCTGTGAAATTGCGTCCAAACGAAATTACAATTAGTTTTTAAAATTAAAATTTCGATGTCGACACAGAAGTCGTTACTGCTTTAAACTTACCATAAAATGAAGGCTTACTTCATTCAAATCACTTATCCATTAGGAAAAATTAAGTGTACCTACTGATAATATTTACCTTTTATGTTGCTAATAGGATATACATCTGACGTAGAGATTATTTGACAAACGAACAGGTTATTAGTTTTACAAACAAAAAGTTACACCTATTGGCAAGAATTTTGCACATTTATAAGTAGCTACGATTTATATCTATACAAATATATAAAGCTGAAGTTTGTTTGTTTGAACGCGTTAATCTCAAAAACTACTGGTTCGAATTGAAAAATTATAATTAAAATGTTTTTTTTTTGTTGGTTAGAGCATTTATCGAGAAAGGCTATAAAATATTGCCCTGTGACTAATACAAGCGAAGATGTGAAAAATATGGGAAATTTATTCATCATTACGGGTTTCCGAGGCGTACGCTGCAAAAACGGTTCAAGATACCCAAAAAAACCGTGTCGCTTTATGCCTATCTTTTCAGAACTAAGGGAAGGGACGCGACCGACGTCGTGAGTAACAGCTTAAGTTAATAAAGAAGAAGTAGTTTGCAAAGACGAATTTGAATGCTCAAAATGAATATTCTTAGCGGACGAAGTTGCTGACTCAGCTAATTGTGAATACAACGCTATAAACGACAAATCAAACAAGTGATAACTATCTCTTTTTTAAATAAATACCAAATCATATAAAATAAATATTACATATGCTATATCCTATACTTCAAAATAAATCTCAATAAATAAGCATTTACTGTAAATAATAAATCTTATAAATATATTTTAGCGCCATTTTATATGTACAATCTTTGGAACGCGTTGCGAAGAACACACTGACTAGATTCCACTCAATAATTTCTCTTATTGCTAATTTTACATTAATAAGCGTTAAACGTCTTTTAATAAATATAATTATAACTAAATAGGTTTTAATTTAGTAGCAGTTCTGTTTAGCTTGTAGCTTAGATTTCTTGAATCGGCCCTAAAAATTTCGTAAATTTAAGAAATTAATTAAAATACTAGTTAGAAGAACTTGTACAAACATTGGTAAGAAACAAGTATCAACTTAAAAAACTTTTAAGTTAAACAGTTTTATTTTGTGTACACTGAAAACTACATTTTTTGTCATAATCATGGTTTTACTAGTATAGCCCTTTCATTTGATACCCATATTGAGGGGGTTAAGGAAAAATATGTAATCCGCCATTTTGTATCGGTGGCCATCTTTGATTTATAATGTTATTGATTTTATTATATTGTATTGTCATCTAAATTAAATGTGTGTACCAAATTTCAGATCAATCTGACAACGGGAGGGTGCTTAAATTTCAATTTCTAATTTTGACCCAAATAAATAAATGCCGTACGGGTCGAGCTAAATAAAACTGTTTAAAAATAATTTGTCACTGATTTAAAACATAAATCACTAAGGACAATGTCAATTTATAATTCTAGCATCAATTAAGGTAACTATCTTATAAATACTTACAGCGTTCGGTAAAAAATATTGTTTACTATTTCCCTGCAATAAAATCGACAATTATGTAAAGAGGATTATACTAATAGGCTATGTTTTGTTTTTAGTAAAAAAGCTATGTTAACATTGTAAATAAAATTTCATTTTTTTATTTAAACACGACTAGAAAAAAATGTGACTAGAATATCATTTTCGATATATCGACTAAAGGAGTTGACTAGACGTTTCATGCGTTTAATATTTTTGGTCTGTTGACTAGATTTTTATTTTATATTTTTTAAGTTCTATAAATAAATAAACTTTAAGACTAGATTTGATAACTGAGATCGAATATACTAAACTATTTTAATATGACTAGGTTAATCGATCTTTGACTAGATTATTGACGATAAAGGCTCTTTTATGATCCGCAATTGTACAATTTGTAAATGAGATCCTAAAACCTAAACACAAAAAAATATTGACTAGAAAAACAACACTGCGACTAGTATGACTAGATATCCACTAAGAATTCTAAATTTAAGACGTTATATTTTTCCGTAGAGCAACAGATTAAAAATTATTTGTCTATTGTATTTTATAACTAGGCACCAAAGGAGTTTTAATTCTCGTGTGTCTAACTGTTGTCTATATTTCGTTCCACTTTCATTGAGGATTAAGTAGGACGATAGCTGATGTCTACTAGGAATTCCCATGCTACTGAAAGAATTATGAGAAATGTTGTGTCGAAGTCGAACCATCTAAAAATATGCACTATGGTATTGATTTCATTGACCTTTCTGTGTCGTTAAGAATGTTTTATATTGTAGAAATTTTGAAGTGTTTTAATCATTCAGAAATATCTCACAGTTGACAGGCTTTTTTTAATGGTAGCAATGTATGACTAATAATCAACGGGTCGTGGGTTCGAACCCCACCGGGTCCAACATTTGAATTATTAATTTTTCTTAAACATGTGAAACTGGAAATCTGGATATTAAATGGTTGATAGGAATATAGAAATTCCGCCCGGGCCACGAACCTCCGTCCACAGAGGAAAAGCCCTGAAGTTTAATCACGTTTCGCTTTCAGTCTGTGGGTTTCCAAATATCCAAAACCAAAATAGGTTGAGAGCGAATCTTGTTTAGATGCTATAGGCTGGACAGTATATCACCTACCATCAAGTGACCCTAATGCTTGTCTATCCTGCACTATCATTTAAAAAATCAGTGGTATTTGGATCGTATTGAATTATTTTTTTGTTTTTGTTACTTTTAAGCTACAAGCACTAAACAGACCGCTAATTGTATTAATATTAAATATCATTAATCTATTATAAATAGTTGTGAATAGGATAAATATATACACAATGAGAAATGTTTTACATTTGCTCACGAAAAAATTTTGGAATGTTGCTGTAGGAGATCGATAATATTTACAATTAAATCTAACATTATTTATCATATGGTGCAGATTATCTTTATACTAATAAATATCTAATTACAATATTACCTACTTATATCCGAGGGGTTAGAGGGGGGAAGGAATACTTATAAGGAAATTTATGATATGTAGAATGTATAATAATGTACAGAATAGATAAAAGTGGCTGTGGCCGTTCTTGAAACGGACATGTCAATTGCAAGCCACAAGCGGACTATAAATAAAAACTATTTTTTAAGCTATAAGTGAAAAAACTATAAATTATCAATGTCCTTTTTGGCCTGAGACACTATAGCTTGTGAACCTTTCATTTTCCTATGAAAAGTAAAATGTGTCATGTCCGTACGACGTCGAATATGGATACGTCATATTAAGGTTGTATGGGAAACGCGGCACTGGCCGCAGGACATGACGTCAGCCATCCCCCCCTCCGCCCCCCCTCATCCTCTGAGCCCGTGACGTCAAGGCTTCGGGAGTCTTCCGATGAGCAGTTCGAAGGGCAGCGGACTCTAACATCGTCCCAGCTTGTTTCGTGTTGGGGTGGTGGTATCTTGTTCCAGAAACTGTTGAAGTTGCCGTCTCGAACGGTGTCCTGAGAGAGGAAAATCTTTGTTATAGTATAAATAAAATCTTTGTAATTTAATCATTAGGAGAAAAATTCAATTAAGAATATTTTATTATGTCAGTCACAAACACCCGTGCGCGAGCACAGTATCTTATCCCAAAAAATAAAGAAGGTAAAATGGACGAAAAACCAATTTATTTATTTATTCTTAAACACCATTCGTAAGGTAATATATGGTTTTAAAACGAATTATTCCATGCTCCGCTTATAATGAGAAAGATAAAAAACTAGGAAAAGTATTCTCATAATCTACTCCAATGCATTGCTACGTAAAAAAAAAACATGCGGGCTAACAACTAAAACAACTTCATGTTATTACTAGCTGTGTCAGCCACTTCGTCCGCGTAGGCATCCAAATTTGGTTTTGCCTCCTCTTCATCTTTCTAAATTTAAGGTACCTACGACGTAAAACATATTTCAAGATCATTTAAAGAGGAATTCATTGGTACATATTGTTCGGGTATCTTCAACCGTTTTGGCAGCGTACGCATCAGAAACCTAGAAAAATTAATAACTTTCCCCATTTTTTCCACATTTCCCGCTATTTTTTCGTCGCTATTAGCCACGCGATGATTTACAGTCTATATACCTTTCTCGATAAATACTCTAACTAACACATAAATAGTTATTAAATTCTCACCAGTAGTTTCGGAGATTAGCGCGTTTAAATAAAAAAACTCTTCCGCTTGATATATTAGTATAAGATACCCTAAAAATCTCTGAGCTTACCGGTTGATAAACGTTATAATCCACGTGTACTTGTCGGAAAGCAGATGGTTCTTTGTCAACGTCACTTTCTGGTTGATCGTGAGCGAGGAGGTGTTTCCGCAAATACGCCTGCCTCCTAAACATCTTCCCGCACCTTTCGCAGGAGAAACGTCCTGATTCTGTGTTGGATGGTTCACGTCGTTTTGTGGCACCAGGTACCCGAGGCTTGTGCCAGCGTCGGTGGGAGGCTAAGTTCGCTGGACAGTTGAAGACCTGTAAAGAAATCGTTCTTCAACCGCTTTTGTTAACAGTGTACATTGGTATTGGCAGAATGGCTGCAATAATGCGATGTCAAGCACCAGAAAGGAAAAAAATATTGTTACGTTGCCCGTAATGTAAAACTAGTGTGCAGAATAGAACATTAAGCGACTGTAATTTTATAGTTCAGCAGCTTAGATTTGAAACTTTATAAGACGCGCCACTTAGTCTACTACGCAGATATGACCCTACAACATATCTTCCCAAGAAATGTTAAGCAATGCCTGCAATATATGAAGAGGAGTTAAAGAATGTTCTCTCATTCGTTCTTAGAAAGTTTTCGCAGCGAACGCAACGAAATTCCTCAAATATGAATAATTTCACTCGTTGAATTTGCAGTCCTATTGCGGTCGGTTATTGGTTATGTAGACTATTTAATTTATTAGTTATATAGCCTAAAGCCTTCCTCAGTAAATGGTCTATCCAACACGAAAAATATTTAAGTTTTTGATATTAGCCCTTCAAACAACTGTACAGCTCTATAATATTAGATTATTTTTCTAATAACCGTATTGTGAATTACCTATACAATGTATCCTAGACCTTATTTATTGCATAATTAAGTATTTATAATTGCTTTACTAGTTACACCATAAAATAAGATAGATGCTAATTACAAACGTCACGCACTCTCGATTAAAATGCGAATAAACATTTGTCGATCTGAATGGATTCCCATGGAAAGTGCCAAGTGTTACCCCTCCGATAATTTGCTCCCAATTCCCACGCATGGGATATCTACGGTTGTCAATAAAACAATTTGTGTTTCATGATAACGAGGATGGTTATAAACATTCTCATTTAGGGTTAATTATTTCATCAAACAACTTGAGAGGCAAGGGTGGGTTACATACTGTCTATAGTTTACGCGAGTAGTACACATTTAAATAAAACACTTTAACGGTTTAAAACGCGTTATATTAGTTAAACTTATTTGAAAATGATTTTTAACTTCGGCCCGACGTTTCGGATGCTTTGCAGCAGCCGTGGTCACGGGTTAACGAAGTTAAAAATCATTTTCAAATAAGTTTAAATAATATATCGCATTTTAAACCGTTAAAGTATTTTATTTAAAAGGGTAGGTTATATTAAAAAAAAGATACTACCTTAAATGGTCAAAATAAAAAAAACGCTTATAATAATCTGTAAACCAACTTAGTTTCATTAATCTAATGTGTAGCGATATAATGAAGTCAAAATAATGATTATTGCTTTGTATGTGAATGTTTCATAAAGGTATTTCCTACCGAAAAGCCCATAAAAAATAGAATTGTATCTATTTTTAATCCCTTAAACATATACGAATTATAGAATAAAGTAAATTTTTTAGTATAAAAATACTCCGAGTGCAATTTGAAATAAACCGGGACTACCTAGAAAAACGATGACGTAATTGACTAAGCAAGGTAAGATAGACACACTAAACACTAAAAACCGTAACGCGTTATGTAATGTAACTATTTATTCTCTCGTTACAAGTTATTACTTCATTTTGATAAATAAAAATATTAGAAAGGGTAATACATACCTTATCGCATTCCGGACATCGATATTCAATGTGGACTATCCTGGAACACCGATGCTGCGCGAGCGCAAACGCGTCGTTGTACAAACGCCGGCATAACCTGCAGATGTACCGGCCGAGGCGGTTTTCAATGGTCGCTATCAACGCTTTTGCTTCTTCCGTGACTTCCACGACGTTAAAAGCCGGGTCAATATCGCCCTATAGGAATAATTTTACATTAGTAAATATGTATCACTATATGCCATTCTAGCTCTTCCCTACGTTATCATACGCGTTTAAAACACAAAAATAACAAATATTTTGTGTTTTGAACTGTTAAAAGTCTTTTACATAAGTATAAATGGTGAAATAAAAGTTATTAATTTTAATGCTAAGTGATGTCTTATTTTAAACAGTATTTTATGCAGTTGCTGCAGATATCACAAACCTTTTTAAACGCTATCTATAGTTTGCGCGAGTAGCACACATTTAAATAAAACACTTTAACGGTTTAAAACGAGAAATATATTAGTTAAACTTATTTTAACTACGGCCTTACAATTCATATGCTTTGCAGCAGCCGTGGTCACGAGAAGTTTAACTAATATATTTCACGTTTTAAACCGTTAAATAGGTTTATTTAAAATTACAGAAACGTAAATTTTAAGTTAGTATTAGAAACAATTATTCGAAATGCCATATAAAATTCCTCATACTGTTTAAGCTTTAGCGTGGTTGAAATTCTACGCTTAATAGCTTCGATCTTATCGGAATCGTTTCATGTAGCAACACTTAAAAGTGTTTAAAATAATACCTTTCGGTTCGAGCATAGAATAATTGACGGAACCGCGATAAAAATGTCCACGATAAATCCAGAGACGACGATTTATTTCATTTCAAATGTCTCTAACGCCACTCGAGGGGCGTCACCCTCGGAAGTGTTATTAGCACAAAACACAATGCGCGACTTCATAGCTTTTAATTGCTACGATAAGAAAAGTCGCCCGTAAGCGCATGTATTGCCACGGTCAGAACTATTAATTACCAATGCGATTTCGCTGTTTATCTTGACGTTTTTTCTGTGGGAATTAGTTATTTGCAGTTTTAATAGTAATGTAGCAGCCTTGATTAAATTTAAACGCGCTATGACTTAAGTAATGTAAAAAAATAAACATTTTCTGTAGTTTACGTGAGTACACATTTGAATAGCGTTTAAATCGCGAAGTACATTAGTTAACACATTTCTAATTCCTTTTAACTATGACCCGACGTTTAGGATACTCTGAACAGGCGTGGTCACGTGAGGGTGGCCCTAATGTAAAGTCAAATCAGCTAGGCCATCTATTTCGTCGTTATCTCCAAATACCAATTTTAATTAAAGTAAGTAATATACTTCGAGATTTAAACCGTTTAAATTGTTTTATTTTAGAGGTAGGTTAGTAGGTTTTAGTGACCTCAGAGAATTAGAGATCAACATCAACAATATATAATAAACACAAATTATAAGCTTGTTGGGTGGTACGGAACGTCCGTTGACTTATTTGCCAGTAGATAAAATCAATTAGTGTAACGGACACAAAAGTGTGTCTCACGCTCTATAGGAAAACGGGATGTTATCATTTAAGTAGAGATGGTGAAATTACCTTTCTAACTACTAATGTTTCATCTTCAGCTAGATCTCTAATAATGGTCCCAGATACAGGCGACGTCTTGTCTTCATCGAACATAAGTCGTCTCACTGCTTTGCTCTTCTTCAGCGGTTGTTGAGGCTTAGGAGACTTCCTAGGTCGTTCCTCGACATCTTTAATTTCGACAATTTCGGGGGAACTTCTCTCACTTTTATCACCGCCGTTCGGGAGACATGTTCGGAGTTCGTCGAAGAATTGCTTCGTGAATTTCAGTTTCTTAGCTTCTGGGCTATCGCTATCGTTGGAATGTTCTTCGTCATTTTTTGGTTTCTGCACCTTATCCTCAACTTCATCCTTCGTATCATCGTCTTCAAAATGTCTGAATATTTTTGGCGGTTTGTGAACTTTGGTTTCGTCTGTTTGTTTCCTTTTTTGGGGTGGCGGTGTGCATGGCGGAGTTATGGGGGTGGTCTGCTTTAGTGATAGATCTAAGGGAACGGATGGTTCATGATAGTAGGAGAGATACTGTTGCAGAAGAGTCGGATGCTGTTGAGGAACAAGGTCATGGAGATAATTGCTGGAAATGTGAACCGGTGGTGCTGCATATTGTTGGTAGAATCTTGATGACGCGAGACGATGAAAATGCGGTAGCGCCGCTTCCATGATTTCCTATTCCCTGATCTAATCTATCTACCTTTCACAAATACTGTTCTCTCGAGCATTTTATCTGTAACAAAAAGAGCAAATCTCAACAATGCGAAACTCTTCAATCACTGGAGTGGACCATTTCACTGATTGTAACAATCGAATCTAGTGCGAAATACGTATAGCATAGTTCACGGTAAAAGGAATTCATTTTAGTACGACGTATTTTCTAGAAAAATATATTAACGTGTCCGCGTTTTGCGCAATAATGATATTATCATCATAATTATAAGTATTGTAATAATTGCGACTAGCGATAATTGTGTGCAATCTTGAATTTATGTTTATGCAAATAAAGGATAAGTTTTTATATTATTTATTACGTTACAAGTTGAAGAGATGAGTTGTAAAATATTTTTATTAATGGCTATTTTTTTTTGTTTATGAGAGATTTTTTTTCATTTCTAGTCAAAAAACATTTGTCATTTTATTTACATGTTGAACTTTCAACAATGTTGTTCATAGCAATTAAAATAATTTTATTTCCCGAGATTTGTACAAGGAACACTTAAATGTAATTATAGGCTTTTTCGCTTTACAATACAATTTTTTTTTCATATTTCGCGAAGCTTTACATTTTTTTTTATTGAACATATAAAAAAGTATATTCTCAGTTCTATTTGTGTATATGATTTTTTTATCTGTACGACAGAGGTAAACTACATAATCTGTTTTTAGAACTTACCAATGTCTAATTTAAGCCTCATGTACACCGGTATATGTGGTATAAGTGTAGTTATTAAATTAATTTAGTTCATATTTCTGATGTGACAACTTTTTAATAAATCGTATTTATTTAAAAAATGTGCGTAAATAAACGTAGTTGAATAGTTTATCTAAATTGTTCGTCGCCGAGAGAAGCACTCCCACGGTCACCCTATCTCACCACCCTCGAACCAAATAGACCCCTGCAAAGCTTTTTATTTTGGTTTAGAGCAAACAACATGAATAGGTAATGTTTTAATGGTCGCATTATAGCTGTTTTGCTATCGTAGAATAAAAATATGTCCCATGGGATGTTGCCAAGCATGAAGCTCTACATAAACTTTATATCATATATTAAGAGCTGTCTGTAGTTTACGCGACTAGTATACATTTAAATAAAAATGCTTATAAACGCGAAATATAGTAACCTATTTTTTATTTAATTTAACTACCAACATTTCGAATACTTTGCAGTAGCCGTGGCAGATTGAGAGTATCCCTAATGTCATAGTCAAAACTGCTACGCTAGAGCCATCTGTTACGTTGTAGTTGGCATTTGGAGAAGTTGGTATTTGGATTCATATCATATTATAAAATATACGAATTTTAAACGAATAAAAAGTTTATTGGACACTCATAAACCATCAAAATATTCAAAAAATAATATAAACAAGAGATGTAGGTGCATCTCTATAATAATATAGTAGATTACAACACAACAAATACCAAAACCATAGATAATCTTCCGAATAAAAAAGGCTAAAGAGCTAAGTAAGCTGAACGAAAAGGGCTAAAAAATATTTCGGTTGGGCGGTTCCACGCCGGGGCGGATAAGTTGGGCGGCGCCTAGAGAGATAAAATATTCATCTCTTTGAATAAACAATGAACGTCCGAAGTATATAGACTAACATGCGCACAAACATAATTTTCTTAAAGGGGATTAAGTTCTGTGCCAATTATATAATTAATTATAAAATAAGGCGTTAAATATATTTTTATAATAGCGGAGGACAGACAAGCGCGGGGTTCACGAGATGTTAGGTGAAATACCCCAGCCATATAACTTTTAAATAAAACACTTTAACGGTTTAAAACGCGATACTGCGCGAACTGCGGTCTGCAGTCTCTCGTGACCACGGCTGCTGCAAAGCATCCGAAACGTCGGGCCGAAGTTAAAAATCATTTCCAAATAAGTTTAACTAATATATCGCGTTTTAAACCGTTAAAGTGTTTTATTTAAATGTGTACTACTCGCGTAAACTATAGACAGTATTTAAAATATATAACTTAATTAGAAAGAAGTTAGACGCGATGGGGATCGTACCTACGACCATAGAGCCAACAGACTTCGTAAGATTTGCTTTATTCTAAGAATAATCTTAATTACGACATTTATCATATTAAAGTAATAAGATATACATATTTTTCTTTCACAAATTCTGTCACAAAGCATACAGTAGATATATAGATATATATATAAAGACTATCATAAGTTTACCCAACCTGACACCTTTTTCGTCGTCAAAATATATAATATAGAATAGAATTTAAGGGGCATGGAGCGAACATATTTTTGCGCCCTAAAATATTCCCTTAAGCGAGAAACAATTGAAGGTTTTTCCGAGATTCGAACCCTCGTGCGTAGCGCTGGGCAAAACGTGTCATTGACCTACGGAGTTGGTCTTGCTGAGACTACTTTAAAACCACTGATTATAGAAATTATTTATATAACCTATTATTATCACCTATAGTGATTGATCGTTATGCATAGAACATAAGTGACGTGTTAATTATAGCCTACAAATTGATATCCTGGAGTCTTGATTGAAATTTGATTGTGACACACCTACTTACACTTAAATAATACGGTACCACTTCATTTTAGAATTGAAACCCTTATATTTGTAATCTTGACTATTGTAGATAGTTTACTACGCTCTAGTTTAATTCTGATTCGGATGAGAAAATCTGGTTTTTATTTCGTTGAAAATAAATATATATTATTTAGTCTAATATGTTTTCAAATTATGTCAGGTATAAAAACGTAAGTGTCGAATAAAATAATCACTCTCTTCATATCATAAGACAAAAAAAACCCAAAAAATAAAGACATAGACAAATATGCCAATTTCGAAGCCAAATACATAATATTTTATTTTCAATTATTATATGCTAATATTCATATTTTTTAAACTGACTATATCCACGCAATAGGTGATGTTTTTGTCAATTCATCCAGGCTGCACGTGAATATGTCGATCCTTTCTTGTAGCTTGTTAATACCTCGCTTAGCACGATATCGACATCCCGAGTATATCTATAAAGTTTAACTTGCAAAAACGACGGGACGCGAAAGGCGTCGGTGGTAACCGCTAAATTTTTTAAAGATGACAAGGTTTGCAGAAATAATTTTGATATCAAAAATTACTATGCTACGCGGACGAAGTCACGGTTATAGCTAGTAATATCATAAAGCAATCTTATGATTTCACGATGTTATAAAGTTCGACATGCATGAAGAACCACAAGTTACTCACGAGAAAGCGATACTGCTTGCACGCTGTAACTTCGAAGAAGTAACACAATCTTAACTTACGAGTAACCGATATAACCATCTAAGTAAAATACAGCGCACTAGTAAGCTCACATTCGCTTAAGTTTAAACTTAAGTCATAAATTATTACATCTAATTGTGAATTTTAAAAAATAATATTTGAGGTTTTTTTCTCAAGCCAAAAGCCAAAATAGATCGACAGCACACCAATAAAAGATGCGCTGTCGATAAGAATATTCTGAAATCCACGGACTGAAACTGAAACGCGATTAAACTCCACAGTTTATTCATCTTTGGACGGTGGTTCGTGACCCGGACGGAATTACTATATCCCTACCACCCATTCGTTAAAAAATGTTTAATGTAAGATAAAGATAGCTTTATCTAACATTAAACATTTAAATTATGTTAATACAGCTGGAAAAAAATTCTAAGGATTTAATTGAAATATTAAACATACTTTTGAAATGTTTATTGTTTACATTTCAAATTAAAAATAAACATCTTCGATCATCATGAGAAAAAAACAACGCCTTTATAAGTTTTAAACATTAAGTAGTTGATTCTATTAAATAAAATGTATTATATTTGTATTTTCTGGACAATATGAATACCATGAGAAATAAAAAAAATTAAATTTACCATTCTCTTTGAACCGAAAGTTTTGCGAGCTTTGTAATTTTCTTTAATCCTTTAGAGACCTCGGCTGGTGTTCATTATTCAAAAAGTCGGATCGAAGATTAAATTAACCAATATATTTCGCGTTTTAAACCGTTAAAATGTTTAGGCAATATTTAATTTTACTTTCTTACTTAAAACCTAAATAAGACTTTTAATGTCCAGTTAGAATCTAAATAAAACTAATATATAAGTTATATTATAAGTTTCACAAACAGCAAAGAAGGGTTAATTCACGGACAACGCAGGTGCGTGAGGGTGTTACTATGGCGAAAAAGCAAAAGTGACTCATACCTGTTCCTGGTCCTTTGCTGACTCAGCCGGCACCCCTTGGAAAGCACAAAATCGAATTTCAATTTATTTTTCTTAAATTTTAAAACTATCAATCGTTTTGTTTAATGTTCTAGAATTGAATGGAATTTTTCGTCTCAAAGTTTGTTGGAAGTATATCGTGTTGGTGTATATAGGGGTGCGCGACGTCCACACTGGGGCGCGTTTGGGACAGGACTGCCGAATGGTTGCAGGGTGCTTACCACGGCGCGTGCGGTTGGCACGGGTTTCAACCCCCATACAGGATGCTCCTTTTTTACGGTTATACTTATTATTAACACAAATAAGCGAATCAGAATGATTATATACAATTTAAGTACATTCATATAAAAGTTTTTATCTTGGTATTAATATTGACTCAATATGTCTTTGCCAAATTTATATATATCATATACATGATACTCTATATACTCCAATAATTTTAAAATTTGTTTCTCTCCATCAATATAGTTTTTTTTAATTACCTGGTCGGTGTTGAGTATAAAAAGGGGTTGAAACTAGTAAAAACATTCTGAATGTTTAAGAATGTGTTTTAATAAAATTACCTGGTAAACAGAGAGTATAGAACAATTTTATATGATTATTATTATTACAAAACACGGTACTTTATTGCTTTTAGTGTGAACGGAATGTTTAGTAGAAACGGTAGTAGAATTCGCCACAAGTTGGCTTTTGCAGGTTACTTAGTCTT